TCTTCATAAGAGCACTAATTCCATTCATGAGGGCTCCACCCTCATGACCTAAGCACTTCCCAAAGGCCCCACCTCCTAATACCGTCACATCGGGGATTCGGATTTCAACGCATGAACTTGAGGGGCACATTGAGTCCATAGCAGCCTGTGTGCCCATTGCTTAGGGCAGAGGTGACTGAACCATGTTGAGTGCTGGCTGCAAATGAATCTCATCACAACAATGAGAAAGCTGCACTTGCCAAGAAGGTGGTGCAGAGGGGTCAGGCAGAGGCACAGAAGCCAGTGTTGTAGAGTGTCTGTTCCAGGCCAGGAGCCACACCAAGAGCCCACACACAGGTGTATCAGTCATTACCACAGCAACCTGCAAGACAGGTAGGTCAACTCCACTTGGCAGATGGGGCCCAAGGAGGCTAGGTGACTTCTCCAAAGTCACACAGCTCATTTAATCCCTCAGCCATAGAGTGGTAACTCATGTGGGTATTTGAGTGAGGCAGTAAGAAAATCAGAGTCTGGTGGGCTTTGGCTAAGGAGACAGCTGCCTGCTCTAGTTTTAGCCTCACACCCGTGCCTTATTATAACAAAGAGACACTGGGGAGTGGAGGATAGGGGATGTATCTCAAAGGAAAAAATGCAACTACTGATTCTGACATCTTTTCAGACCTCCAGCAAACCTGCAACATATATGGAGAGGAATCCCAACTCCATTTTATAGATGAGGAAACTAAGGTATGAGGACCTATCTAAAGTCATACCTCCCAAAGACAGATGACCCAAGGGCTGATCCATTCATTCACCAAGCATTTATAGAGTGCCTTCTGAATGCCAGGTACCATACTAGGTACAAAACAGACATGGCTACTGTTCACACAGAGCTCTCAGGCTCCCAAGAAAGGGACACAGCTAAGTAGGCCTGAACAATAAAGTGTGAAGTGCAGTATGATACGAAAGGTGTCCGGAGTTGGGAGCATTTACACACTCCTGGGTGGTCAGAGAAGGCTTCCAAGGAAAGCGCACTGTGCTGAGCAGAACAAGCCATTGTCTGGGTGGGGAAGGCCCAGATAGTGGAGAGTGCTCTATGACAGATATGGGGCAAGTATTGAGTTTTCAGTGAATTCTATACAAGCTAGCAGGTCTTCAGTTCCGTCTGCCAGAAGATCATTTGTGCAGCATCATATAGATGCTTCTGTGCCCGTGGACTTCACATTTTCAAATCAAGCAAATCACACAGTCAGATCCAGTACCGAGGTGAGCTCTACAAGTTAGGACAAACCAAGATGCCCAGAACAAGGGTTGTCTCATACATGCACCCATGAGATACAGGAGTAGGGGACAAGTGGTGGGGGAAAAGCCATATCAGAAGAGGTAGCTGCAATGGGAAATCTCAAAGAAGGAAGTTCGTTTTGTTTTGTTCTGTTTTTATTCAAAGAAGGAAGTTTAAGATCATTTATCTACAGAGGCAGATTTCTGATTTTTAACTAATTTTGTTATCCCAGAATTGCCTCCCTCCATATGTACAGGTCCCTTCCTGCACCTTTTAGTATGTCTCTCCCAACCCGTTAGTAATAGACAGCTGTATATTTGAGTTTCTTCTCTGTTCATCTTTTGGCTTAAGTCCTGCTTTACCTGCATGGGGAGAAAAATATTCCTTACTCATAATGAGAGGAGAAATCTTTCCTGATACCCTGGGCCAGATCAGATCTTCCTGCTCTAGATATCTACAGCAACTATCACTCCCCATAATGGGAAACCAATCATGTTATAGAAGTCACTCATTTAATTGTCTCTCATCCCCAATGTCAGTTTCTGGAGGGTGGGAACTCTGTCTGGATTGTCCAGTGCCTGGCACAGAGTGGATGCCTGAAATACAATTATTGAATGGATGGATGGATGGATGGATGGATGGATGGATGGATAGGTAGATGGGTAAATACATGGTTGAAGATCATTGTTCATCTTAACACAATAGTTAAAATCACCAGTAGCCCATTAACTCGTGCCTACTATTGTCATTGTAAATATAATTACTCTTAACGATTCTCGTAGCTCATGCTGCCAGGGATGTAATTATCAGTGCCTGTAAGGCACCCTGCAGGTAGCAGGGGGATAGATAGAAAACAGCACCTCGGGTTTAGGAAATCCCTTGTGGCTTGCAAAGCACTTTCTTGTTCACATACGGCACTTTATTTATGCATCGTAAGAACCCCATGAGAACCCCATGAGAGAGATTCACAAGAGGAGGCAGCATAGTGTCCTGATTAAGGGTGTGCCTCTGGATCCAGACTGCCTGAGTTCAAATTCCAACTCTGGCACTTACCAGCTCTGTGACCTTGGGCAAGTTGCTTCACCTCTCTTGGCCTCAGTTCCTTCGTGTGTTGTATGGGAATAGTATTATTGGTTTGGTTGTAATATTTTATTTTTCAGGAAATAACTCATCTAAGCCTCATAGTACCTATAAGGTAGATATTATTATTCCTCTTTCCTTTTTTTTTTAGATGATATTAAATTCATTTGATTCCCATTCTACTAGGAGGTGGAGGAGCTAGAATTTGAACCCAGAGACTGTAGTTCTTAGTTCTCCTGCAGCTAACCTCTATGGCATGTCCACACACAGGCATCCTTGGGCCCTTCCTTAGCCGCTCTTCATAAGGATACACCTTTGGGGTCAAACCCAACTCATGGTTTCTGGGAGTGGTGCATGCTCAGATGGCCAAGGACCATAAGTGCTCCTACAGGACTGGGGGTGGGAGCCCCAAGCACACTCTTTCTTCGGTGTCTTGTGTCTCTGCTAAAGACATCAGGACCATTTTATATTCCATTCTATAAGATACTTGCTGCTCCCAGGATAAAAATAAGGCTTCCTACTGCACCCTTGAATACAGCTGCCCTCCTGTAAGGCATGGAAAGTTTCTCCAGTGGCTCCAGCACCCTATGACCCATAGCTGGGAAGCCCCACAACCCAGGTGGAAATACGACAAATTTGAATGTGGTTTATAATTAGTTCCCAATAAATTGGGAGGTAGAGGGGTCAATAATTATTATTTTGCAAATGAGGAAACAGAACCTTGGGAAAATGAAAGGACTCGCCCAGGGTCCCATAGCCAGGATTTGAGAGGACTTGGATTTGAACCCATCTTGCTCTGACTGTAGAACCTGTCTTGTTCACTGCCATCAGGCACTGTTCACCTATCAGCCTCTGCTCTTCAGAATAAGGAGGGAGCGCCCCCTAGGGGAAGGGGAAGAAGCACCAGGCTGGGAGTCCAGAGACCATCCCACCTCTGGACTGCCTGCCTGTGTGTGACTCTGGACAAGTTCCTTTCCATCTCTGAGCTTCCAGTTCCTTACTGAGAAAATGAAATTGAGTCTAAAATGCCTCCAACACTAAAATTTTGTGCAAGAGGAAAGGATGGTGAAGCAAAGAGATGGGACAGGGGACAAGGGGAAAGAATTGGGGCTAGGTCAGGGGCTCAATCCCATCTTCCTCTCCCCACCCCTCCCCCTTACCGTCCTGGACCTAGGATGGCCAGGTGTCTATGCCTACTGGGTGGGGCCAGTCCCCATGCCAGGCCCAGCCAAGCTCAGCAGAGGCCCTTTGTCACCCAACGCTTGCCGGGGGCCTTGGACACCGGTATTGGGTGTCGGGGTGGATTGGATTCTCTCCTGGCAGCCCTGCAGATACGGCACTTCTGCAAGGGTGGCCAGGCAGGCCAGCAGGGAGAAGTCCGTGCTCTCTTCTCCCGGGCTCCCCGAAGGACGTCGTGGCTGCTGTCCGTGGTGCTGAACTGTGCACCCCCGCCCCCCAGGTGAGGGCTCCATGCACCCCAGCTCATGCTTGGGGCCAAGCGGGGTCCTCAGTGACATCCTGGTGAATATGCATGAGCTGACTCCTCTGGCCAGACCAAGGGCCTTGATGAATGTGGTTGGGGGCTACAGGTGAAAGTGGGAGGCTTTCTCCCATTCCCATGCCTGGGAAACCAAAGAGGGGATAACAGTGTATCAGCAGATGTAGGTGGCATGGATGAAGGAAGCATATATGCTGGGGGACCTGGGGGCTCTGTACTTGGGGGATGGATGGGGTTATGCTCCGGATCATGAGAGCGTGGTGTGTGTGCGTAAACAAGACTGTGAGCACAGGTATTTTTGAGGAAGGGAGTGGGAATATTAAGATGTATTTCTAGAAGCATGACTGCATGTGACAGTGTTTATGGTGCCAAGGGGGGTGTCCACCAGGGTATGTGTGAAGTGGGACTCGTGTGTTGGTGTATGTGTATGGCAGGGGGGTGGGACCTAAAAGTAGGCAGGTTAGGTGTACAGAGCACCCTGAGCTGTATAGGTCAGAGGGTGTGTATACACCAGGGTGCATGTCATGAAGTCAATGTGTTAAATAGCAGAGTGGACGATTAGGGGGTTAGGGCATGTTACGAGGTTGCACCAGGCTGTGGTTTGGGGGTGGTATATTGTGGAGTGCCCAAGTGGGCGCAGTATATTTGGGTCTACAGTGTTTGCTGCTGTGCTATGGGGTATGGTATGAAACACCCACGTTAGGGTATGTGTATATGTAGTGGTTGTTATTTGGGGTGGTTTGTGTGTGTACAAGCACGTGCAGGCTGGGCCTTCCTAAGCACCTGTCCCATGAAGCCTTCAGTGCCTGACCCTTGTCACCACTCTGTGCTTGCCCCCACAGGAGCCACCACCCCTGACCATGTAGATGCCAGCTCCAGGGAGCAGCATGGGCCCCACTGAATGGAGACTCCTGGGTCTACAGCCCTGAGCCCCTCCGGCCCCTGGACGTTGCCCCGTGCCCAGGGACACCCCTTGGAGCTCACCACCGCTGTCGCCAGCCCACCTCGGCCGCCCCCTCCCCCTGGGACCCAAAGTCGGCCACCGGGAGCCACAGTCATCCAGTGAGGTTGTGCTAAGGACAGGCACACGGAGCCATCACCCAGCAGCCTCTTGTCCAGCGCTGACTCTCGGGCCCACCCTGAGCAGGGACTGGGGCAAACATGGGTGACATGACCAACAGCGATTTTTACTCCAAAAACCAAAGAAATGAGTCGAGCCATGGGGGCGAGTTCGGGTGCACAATGGAGGAGCTCCGCTCCCTCATGGAGCTACGGGGCACCGAGGCTGTGGTCAAGATCAAGGAGACTTATGGGGACACTGAAGCCATCTGCCGGCGCCTCAAGACTTCACCTGTGGAAGGTAGGTGTGGAAGACTTGAACACAGTGCTTGGATTTGGGATCTAGACACCCAATCCCTGGCCTCCCTTCCCCAGAACCCAGGAACCCCCCTCATCTGGGTTTAAGCATGGGACCACAGCATTGCTACTGTGCATTCAAATCCAGCTCCATAACCCACGTCACTGGCCTGGGTTGTGCCCAGCTGTCCCAAATCCAAACTCTGATGGTGGCTCCCTAGGTGTCTGGGGCAGCCATAGGCCATGGAACTGCTGGAAGACAGGGAAGGCAAGAAGATGGGCCGTCACGGGAAAAGGTGACAGATACCCATATGTGTCTTGCCCTGGAGATGGGTGTGGGGCTTTTGTGTAACTGAGAAAATGAACAGGCCTAGGATCTTGGGAGAGAGAGAGTTTCAGCTTCTGGGTGCTCCTCTGAAGGGGACCAAAGCCAGGTCACCCGCTGTGAGGCAGAAGGAAGAGAAACCAGCCCAGCCTGAGCACCAGAGCATAGAGTGTGTGTCACCATTCCCACTATCACTTTCCCCTTGCCATGAGGGAGAATTCCCTGCATAAACCCCAAAGATATGGGTGTGAGGCACCTCCACAGCACTCCCCATGCAAAGAGGCTGCAATGAGCCTCAGTTTCTTCCTGTGGAAAATGGAACCGATGGCTACCTCACAGTGCCTACTAGAAGCCTGAGCATACAGTAGGTGCTCAAAAAGTGGCAGCCATTATTATTCTAAAAAGTGGATGATAATCTCTCCCCCAAGCACAGATCACAAGCTGGAAGACAGCATTTGAATTCTTATCCCCATGTGAGAGATGAGAAATCCAAGGCCAAAAGGTCCCTCCTGTCCTGTCTCCTGACTCCAGTCCCCATGCCCTGGGCACTGCTGGGTACCAACCCTCAACGCATTTCCTATAGAGGCTGCTTAGGGACCCAGCTGCTCACCTAAGCAGAAGTTTAGAAACACCTTGCTCTCTTGGTGTTGTTTGGTTTTGTTTGAGGGTGGGGAGGAGAATAGTAGCCCAGGGCTTGAGAACGGCTATGTGTGCCCCAAGACAGGAGGGAGTCCTGCCTGGGGGCTCCTGGGCCTCATGTGAACCCTAGTCTGTGGCAGAATGGTCCGTGCTCATCTCCGCCATGAGGTTGGCACACTAGCCTTCCGGGAGGCAGTGTTGCCCTGGTCATCTTTGTCTTTTCTATGGGACGAGGAGATTCTCTTGAGTTGGAAAATCTTAAGTGTCTCTGGGCCTCGGACCTTCTGGAGAACCTAATGAAACTGTAGTCCTTTTTCCCAGAAAAAAACAAAAAAACAAAAAACACCCACATACTACAGACATGGCTCACGCTATCAGCACATTCGCAGAGCCCCTCCAAGCAAAGCCATGGACCTTGGCATACGAGACAAACCTTGGTGTTAAGAACCCCACCCTCCCCTCCCCCCTGACAGGCTCTTGGACCCTGGGAAATTGAACGGCCTGCGGCCAAGCTCCAGCACCGTCCGGGGCCATTACCATTTGGTTTACTGTGTCCCCCAGTGCGTCCTGCTGGGAAAGCAGGAGCACACCAAAGGGCAGGGATCCTGTCCTGCTCCTCTCCACCCATCTAGTTCCCAGTCTGGTACCTGACACAGACGAGGTTGGATAACTGCCCAGTAAAACCCTGAGACGTGGCCCACAGGGAGCAGCTCATATGGCTGAGCAGCCAAAACAGCACATAATTCAGCCCAAGTGTAGCGTGGACCCCAGAGCTCAGAGGAGAGGCGAGGTGGGTGGGCCGTGAAGGTCAAGGAAGGCTTCCTGTAGGAGGAGGCATTGGAACTTGGCTATGGAGAAAAGAGAAGGAAAAGCATGTAGCATGGCATAAAACAGCATTTCTTAGGTGGAATCCCGCAGAATGCCAGTGTACTTGCAAAAAGGTAGGCGTTATGTGGGAATAAAGGAGACCCGGTTTTCTCATCTTTACAGTGGAGAGAATGATGACAGCTCAGAACATTGCTCTGCTGCCTGTCAGCTGTGTGTGTTTGGGGCCTTTTGTCTGACCTCGCTGGGTCTTGGCTTCCGAATTTTTCATGAGGACCCAATGAGATCTCTGATGGGATAGATCCCTGAGAAGGAGGAAAGCCCGCTGCAGGACTAACCAGAGCCTCTGCTGTGTTGGTCCCTAGAAGGATCTCCCAGGTGCAGGTAGAGCTGGAAGAGGTTTGGGGAGAGGCAAAAGAGCGGAATGCTATTGACCTCAGACTTGGGTGACCTGGGTTCAAATCCCAGCCCTGCCATTTACCAGATGTGGGATTCTGGGCAAGGTATCCACCACTCTGTGCCTCGGTTCCCTCGGTTGTAAAATGGGATCATAATAGTGACTGTCTCGTAGGGTGGTGAGGGCAGAGTGCAGTGGCTTAGAACAATGCCTGGCGCATGGATAGTGCTACGTGTTAGGACTCAGCCCCAGAGACTAACCACCTCCATTTCCGCATTGGTAAAATGGGTTGTGAACGTTGAATGAGATTAGGCCGAGTGCCCCGTCTCTAAGTGCTTTATAAGTGTCAGCTCCTGTTGCTGTTGTTTTCATTATGGTTATCATTACTCTGGAAGAAGCATGTCCTCTGGAAAAGGTGGAACCTGACCCTCATGGAATGCTGGCCAATGTCCGTGAACGGTGTGACTACTTTTTCCCAGGCCCTTCTGTGTTCTCATTGCACGTGTTCCTAGAAGCATGCGTGGCTATCCCATTTCGTGGATGAGAAGCCTGAGGGCTCGAGGTCACCACCACAGTTCCCATCAGAGCAGTTGAACACAGCTCTCTTGAACACAGCACCCCAGAGGTGCCTTCACACCTGAGCCAAGCGTGTGCACCTGGGAACAGTCCTCTAAAGACGCCTTCTGTGCGATAAGGGCCTGAGTAGTTGGGGGCCACCTTTTCTCTCATGTTCAGCATTTGTCCTGCCCTGTTTAGCCCTCTTCTGACTTCGAGAAATGCTTGCTTGGCCTCCAGCCCTAACCCCCAGCTTAAAAGCCATGTGGTCTGCGGCTGTGCCAGGTCTGGACGGGGACTCAGGTTGGCCATTCCCGACACCCTCTGTGCCCCTGGTCTGCTCACGTCAGCAAGGAGCCGGCCTCTGAGTCACTCTACAGGAAACTGCTCCAGGCCGTGCATAAATTAGCCTTCCCCTTCACATCCAGCTAATTTTAGGCAAAAAGATCTCTGCAAGTGATAGAGGGAGGTTGACACCAGGAGAATTCAACTCCCACCCGGGGTACCACCTACTGCCAGCACAGGCAAGGGACTCAGTTCCCATGACCTGACAGTGTTGGACTTTCCCCCTGAAGTCCTGACTCTGGTGACAACTCTGGGGTAAACGGGCTCCCTATGAGGGCCTCTCTCCCTGAAATGAGTTCTCTTTCTTTCCTCTTCCACTGTTGGTTCTGTTCCACTCTGGTGATGCCCTTCCCTCCTTACCCTCCACTGCTTCCTTTCCTTCCATACCCTTCCAGCATAGGACAATAGAGCCCAAGGCCCAGCTTCAAATTCTGACAGGCTTACTCTTCAAGGGACACTTATCTTCAAGAGACATACCGGAAGAATTCAGTTAACTTCCCCAAGCAAGCCTCCATTGCCTTATCTGTGAAATGGGAATAATAACACTACCTACCTCACAGGATGTGAATATTAGATAATCCACATGAAGGGCTTAGTGTGGCATATAGCATATCCTAGACACTTCCAAAATAACGTTCATTGTCATTATTATTATAACCAAATATTTCTTACAACAACAACATGCATGGGCCATATCCTCATGAAAGAAATGGGGCGATTAAATAAGACGGTACTGAGCAAAGAGTAAAAGTGCTACCAGAGAAGGCTTCCCAGAGTAGGCTACTTTGTGATGAGTCTGGAAAGATGGGTGATGAGTGGCCTGTGAGCCCCCAGAGGCAGGAGCTGTTTGTCATTCTCCACCGTGTCCCCAGCACTTGGTACAACACCTGGGGGATTGAACACATATTCACCGAAAGAAGGGAAGGGGATGGGCACCGAGGTGGCTTGGTCAGTTGAGTGTCTTGACACTCTGGATTTTGGCTCAGATCATGATCTCACAGTCGTGAGATCAAGCCCCATGTGGGCTCCGCACTGAGCACAGAGCCTGCTTAAGATTCTCTCTCTCTTCCTCTGCCCCCTCCCCTGCTCGCACGCTTTCTCTTCCTCTCTCCCTCTCTTCCTCTCTCTCTCTATCCTTCTCTCTCTCCATCCTTCTCTCTCTCCCTCTGTCTCTCCCTCTATCTCTTTAAAATAAAATAAAAAAATAAGAAGAAGGGAGGGAGACAGAAGAGGTTGGGGATACCCCTGGTGCGGGGTGGAATGGAAGGCTGTAGCCAGGGGACAGGACACAGGACACACGAGACACTGTGTCACCCATGGAACTGGCTTCAGTTCCCCAAGCTCAGAGTGGCATTGCCCTGAGCTGCTGGGCAGGAACATCCCTTGTCCTTCACTTCCTAACACCTGCACCTCGGGCTGTCAGAAGGGGCAGCTCAGACAGGTCCCTCTGGGTGCCCCCTGCATTGTGTGTTTCCTGGTGGGGGAGAGAAGGGGACAAAGAAGGTGGGGCAGCAGCAGGGTGGGGTGGGAACTGGATACTGGAGTGTTGTGAAACAGAACCTCCGGTTAATTTTGTATGAATCCTGCCGCCTGCCCAAGTGGAGGAGAGAGTGGGGCTGAGGGAGGAGAGGAGAGCGGATCATGGGGACGGTGCCTCATGTTGCATAAACACAGTGTTAAACCAGAACATCCGCGGACCCGGCAGGGACCGTGTCATCATCCACAGAGCTGCCACCAGCTGGGCACGGGGGAGGGTGTGAGGGCCACGTGTGTCTTAAATGTCTCTGGGTCCCAGGCAGTGGGGATCGTCTGTTTATCATTGTGACGCTCTATTTCTCCATGTTCTCCATCTCCCCATGCATCACGGGGGCCCGGAGAGGTTGATAGGGAAACCGAGGCAGCCACAGATTCAGCAGTG